TTAATCATTAACTGAGTATTTGCTGAAGAAATGAATGAATAATTGGACAAGTGCCTCATAGGAGACTTTCAAAGCCCTGCAGTTTGGCTCTACCCATTCTTTTTCTGTAACACCATAAGCACTGAATACTCATGGCAACTCTTGAACATCCAAGGGAAGATAAAAGGGCTCCAGCTAATTAAAGAAACCATCTATTAAACTTCCATTCAATTGCATATTATCTTCTTCTCTTTTTGAATTCAAGATTTTATTGGTGCTGTTCTGCCTACCTCAGTTAAGCCATTTCCTTCCTTTCATACCAAATAAATTCTTTTTTCATCCCCCAGGATTCAGCTCCAATTTTACCTTGTTCTCCATAAACAGCTATCTAACTACTCAAGTGTAAACTGAACTCCACCTTATTCCTTCTCTGGCTTACTAAGGGAATTTTTGTTAAATATATCATATTTTATTTTGGTCAGGAATTGTGCTTTATATGCAGGATTTCTGGAATGATATTGCTAAGATGCTGTTATATAAATAAGTAATTCTCTGTTCTCTCTTACTTCTTTGTGCCCTATAAATCCTCTGATGCCATAGCCTTTGAGTTGTTCTTTATATTTCTTGGTTCCTTCCCATGCCCTAAACTAGTCTTTTGTCCTATAGTTGTTCCCTAGCCGATATTTGCTCATTGACTGACGGATAATTTACTAGATATTTCCTTCTCTATAGCCTTGCCTAAATATCTCCAGATATTCAGTAAATTTGGTTGATTGTCTAAGGACATTCAGATTAATTAGTAGTGCTGAAAGAAAACCAAATATTTTGACAGAAACTGAGAAAAACAAGATATTTTTAAGCACAGAAGAGTCATACAGTTTAGTGATAGCTTATGCCTTGAGAGAAAGACCATATCTTTATACTTTTCTCATGCACTGTTTGTGTCAACCTGGGCTACTCTCTGTGTTGTGGTTCAGAGTACAGACTCTTAACCTCGAGCCCGTGAAAGTTTATAAAGTTCATAGATTCATTTTAGCATCTCTAAAGGCAAGTAAAACTTAAGGCATAAAGAAAGCTGTGTCTCAAGGCTGTGGTGGTTCACATCTTTAATTCCATCACACAGGAGGCAGAGGCAGGCTGATATCTAAGAGCAAGTTCCAGGACAGCCAGGGGTACAACGAGAAACCCTGTCTCAAAAAGCAATACAAACAAACAAACAAACAAAAAGCTTTGTCATTAATAATACAAAGTGGAATATTAGACCCAAGCTTATCTAACTTAAATGCTAGGCAAGAAATTCTTCCAGTTGTAGCATGACATCAGTGCTTTGAAAGTTGTCAGAAATGAGAGTTGCTGGATACAGATAGGATATAGTTCTCATTTTTGAGCTTGAATCTTCAAAGCAAGGTCCACAAGGGCCAAAGCAACAGAGCAAAGAATGTGTGTGCACGCACACATGCATGCTTGTGTGCATCGTGTGTGTGTGTGTGTGTGTGTGTGTGTGTGTGTGTGTGTGTGTGTGTATTATTGGGGAAGGTCAGACAGAGCTTGCAATTTCTTACCCATTTGCCTTCCTTAAAGCTCACTACAAGCTCACACGGAGGGCTCACAATGGCTGCCCACATTTTAAATGTTGAATACTAGTGAAATGGAAAAGTTTTGTTAATTTATACCAGGTAAGAGTGTAATAAATACAGTGGCTATGGGTTGGGGACATAGAGGCAGAAGAGAGTCAAAGTGAAAATTCTCAAACTTCACTAAATCCAACCCTACCTATTTTCTTTGCTGAGAAAGAAATCTATCTACCTTGTTAAGATACAGAGTGACGTAAAACCCTTAAGTCCTGACTTTATTTTGTATCATCAGTCTAAAAGTAAAACAAACAGTATCATCAGTTTCTGAGGAGAGTCACCTGCTTGCAGACCTCTTCAAAAACAAAAATGTATCAGAAGGCCTTTTTGGGATTTAGCACTCTTCACACATGTAATGTTCAAGGTATAACTTAACCCACTTGTATGTGATTTGGCTGAGAAAGAGTGACTAGCCTTAAAATGGACCTTGACAGCATGTGGATTGTAGATGCACTAGCTGGTGGGCTGTGAGTGTGAGCATATCACAGTGTGAGCAGACTTAGCAACAGCTCTGCCATTCACCCTGAGCTGGAAGATTTCACATATCTATACAGCAGCCAGGATTTTAGGGAATCCAGCCATCAAACCCTGCAGATCATGGGGAGGCTTAAGCAATCTCTACAAAGCCCAGATTCCAACCTTAGCATCATTCTTTATGTTAGAATGCAGATATGTAGATTCCACCGATGGTGCACTAATCTTGCTTTTACTTAGTTGTATTACTTTGTGGTGATCTAGTTTCTTGTGTCTAAAAAAGGAAAGAGCAATATATATGATATAACGCTTCAGTAATTTGTGAAAAGATGAAGCTTGGTAAATGTGTGGAGATTTGAAGTTGTTGCTAAATTTTGTTTCTTTTATAATAATTTTTATTTAACTTTTTATACATGTTACTCTCAGTTCCCTCTCCCTCCCCTCCTCCCCTGGCCCCCAAATCCTCCCAACCTCCCACCCCACTCCAACCCCTCCTACGCTCGGAATGATATGACTGACTCTGAAAATCTCTCATGGAAGCCCTTAGTTGTCACTAAATTTAAAAAATTATAAAAATATTTGTCTATAGATATGAACAAAGTTTATGCAATATTATAACTTCTTAATACTTTAAAACAATTAGATGTTGATTACAGTGGTGTGTGTTTGTGTAAGTGTGTGTATGTGTGTGTGTGTGTTGCAATGTGTGTGTGAGGAATTGCTTCTCTACTTACACCTTTACCTGGGTTCCAGAAATCGAATTGACATTGACCAGCTGGATGAGTATTTACCCCTATATTTTAAGCTTTTTCTCTGGCCCCAGCATTAAACTTTTGCACAGTTTAGCAAATGAAAAGGTATGCTATCTTAGAGGTTCAATAATAACGCTCTCCCCATTAATGTTTATTCCCCTTAAAATGTGGCAGAGCTATGCAGTCTTGATTCAGACTGAGAACTCTGGGAGCTGCTTTTTGCTTTGCTTCTTCAGAGTTGCGTAGACTTGGGCAGGTCACTGGTCTCCAATTTTCCTATTTGTGAAATGGAAAGAGTAAATACTATTCCACCAGCCTGACTCAAGAGAAAACTCTGTAACACACTAGAAAATAAAGGAAGGCAATGTTTACGGAGAGCTTTCCCTGAAAGGGTCAGGCCTTAAGTAAATTTTTTTCTATCTATTGTCTTCTATATTCCGTCTATAATAGGAGTAATGATTTCTATGCATCCCACAGGAGCAGAAACTGAAGAGCAGAGGGGTTATGGGAGCGGTTTAATTCATAAACCTGTGGCCACAGGGAAGAACCCAGATGTGAACCTTAAACCAAATGACTCCACTATTAAAAATGAAATGATATATATGTCTCTTTCTGTGCCCCTTGTCGTCTGTTTTGTACTTTACTATTCCTTTGCCTTTCTTTCTTCTTCTGTCTTGCTTCTATACTAGTTAACAAGTGCTGTCATAATTTCCCATGATTCATTCTAGTGACATTCAGTGTTACTATGGAACAAATCAGAGATTAAGAAGGATTAATGGTCACAGTGCAGCCCATAGTCAATATTTGACTGTCTTTGGTAATTCACATAGTATTTCTGAGATAATTTCCTAACTTTTGTAACTGTATTAGTTAGAGGGACTCTGTGTGCTCTTTGGTAGTAAGACATGTACATAAACAACTGTAATATGAACAAGGAGTCATCACAGGCAAGAAGAAAGATATAAATGCAAGAAATATTCAGAGGAGAAAATAAATTAATGCCAGATAGAAGGTCCTTGTCTTTACATCATTGTCAGCTAACTCTTATACTTGCCTCTTTCTAAGATACCAGAATAACCCAGTATGTTGTCCCTCACTGCAAGAATGGGGTGGGTGGAAAAAAGACAGGCAGTTAGACTTGGGAACAGAGTCAAAGTAAGTGTGGCTACACCCACCCTCCTTCAGATTTCCTCCCAAGAATTTAAACCCTCCAAGCTTCATAAAGCTAAATAATATTTACTGTAAAAGCATGTTCTTAGATGGCTAGAGGGAGGAGAGAAGGGTGCCGTGGGGGATCTTCTCATTTTTTTTTCCACAGATGTGGATTTCAAGTTCCCACCTGGTAGGAGCCTAGGGCCCTGAACAGAAAGATGCAGGTCAGAACCCGGACAGGCAAATAGAACAGCCCACAGCATCCACTGATGGAGTTATCAAATCTCTAAAACTTTTTCCAGTGGCTAAACAAACATCTCCTCACTTTCTCTCATTCTTTTTCCCTATTCACTGAAATTTGGAAACAGCCACAGAAGGCCCTGAATACAGAAAGACCCCATCTATAAAATCATTTTTTTTTACCTACAAACTAAATTATATTAGAATCAGCCTCTAGTTTCTATGTGTTTTACTTAGCAACAGACAAGGGTAGACAATAAGAAAGATTTTTAAATCGTGGCTAATAAAAATAATAAAAGACACACTTTCCAGATTAAATCCTGGATTTCTTCCAGAATACCCTGGAAATACATTGAAAATGCGCAGAGAACGGCAGGGCACTTAAACTTCAGCGACCACGAGGAGTTCCATGGGAAGCTGCCCTGACGTCTCTGAAGCCCACATTTAAAACAGCAACAAGATTCACTTCACTCCATTTTCCAGACCCCCACCTCTCCGAAGCACGAAAAAGCGCTATTTCAGAAGGATAATAAATAATGCTTACAAACAAGGGTGGAAAGGGTGGAGAGAGAGTGGAATGGGGTTGGGGGTGGGGAGACAGAGTCTTCAGTTACAATCTTTTCGGGGGGAAAAAAATAAGACAAATTTCAAACCAACTTTCTCCACTAGACTACAAAAGCAGTTTGGAATGTTAGGCGGATGCAAAAGGAATAAAGCAAACGTGGAGGGGGGGAAAGGGGGCCGATAAAGTTTCTGGCTACAATACAAGAGACGTATCATTACCATATGATCTAATGTGGGTGTCAGCTGGCTGTGCTCATTGAGTGAAACCTTCGTTTTTAACTGTGCTATGGGGTAGAGGCTGGAGGTTTTCAACCTAGTGACAGTCACAGAGCAGCACTACCCCTCCTCCTTTCCACACCTGCAGACTCTTTGGCTTGGGCAGAATATTTAGTGTAATTACATCTCAGCTCTGAGGGCTCCCGTGGCAAATACCCGGATTAAAAGGTATGGCTTTCGATAATTGTCCTGAACTCTGCTACAGGCTAATAAAACTTCCGTCAAGTGGAGGGCAGAAAGAAATACCTAGTGAGAGAAGAGAAACGAGGAAGAAATTTCGCTAAACTTTTAAATAATCTTTATGCAACATTAGAAACAAGAGTTGCTTGAAAACAGAAGTTAAGTGCTCGGTAAAACTGTAGTTTGAATTCATTGTGTAAGTGCTTTCTCTTCTATTCTTGCAAAGATGCTTATTAAAAATCTGTAAGTTAACACCATGACTGTCTATACCGATGCTTTTGAATTTGTACTGATGAAATGCTTTGCTCTTTGTGAACCGCTAACAGAAAGGCATTCTAAACTAGCCTACTGCTTGTGCCTAGATGAGCCATTTAAGGAGGTATTCCCCTCCTGGATTCTTGAATACTTCACAAACCTTTAAAACCTCAGCAAGTGGACTGTCTAGCTGTAGAGATATAATGCCTATTTTTGTTACACCAGAAATGAATATGAATTATGACCAGAGAAGTGAAAAGCAATACTGAAAATATTTATGTTAAAATCTGAGATAGTACATCACATACTTTCTTGGATATCAATAAATGTTCCTGTCAATATTTTCAGTGCAAATGAACCTTCCTAGAGTTGCATGACTATGAGGTGAGGGTGGGGGCTGCTTCTCATTTTAAGGTTAAGCAGAGTAACCAAACTGGTTAAATTTCCCAGTGTTCTCAGTGCCTATGGCTGTTTCTTCCTTTTGCTGTTTATTTTACCAGAAAAAATGAGATTCATAATCGCTCTTTATGGACAAATACTATTCTAATTGCCTATCTTTTAATTACTTCTGTTGTTTTACTGAAGTTTTTAGTTCACCAAATACTGGGGAATTTAAATTTTGTACTGTATCTACAGAAACTCTTGATACTTAAGTGTTAAGTTTTGACTTTGAAACAACTACCAAAAATATAAACATGTTTATAAAATGCTAATCTGCATGATATGTAGAATTAAATAGGAGCCAGAAGTATTACTTTTGATGAGACATTTCTGAACAACAGCAACCATTGTTAGTGGAAGAGCAACTTTACAAATATTTAAGAGTAGAAGTTTCCATGAGATGTGAAAAGTGTGTGGCCTCTGTTACTGTCTCCTTTCTTTGTATAAGGACAACTTCTTTTTGCTATTCTATTTACTATTTATCACAAATGAAAAAAAACACTGAAGAAATCAAAAGGATACTTGGCAAATATTAATTGCTCTAACATTGGAGATCTTTGACTATTATAAAAATTGTAAAAAGAAATTTCATGGGAGAATTTGAATAAAATTAATAGGCGTGCTTTTCTTCTCTGGTATATTGAAGTTAACACACACACACACGCACATGAGAGAGAGAGAGAGAGAGAGAGAGAGAGAGAGAGAGAGAGAGAGAGAGACAGAGAGAGACAGAGACAGAGAGAGAGAGAGAGACAGAGAGAGAGAACACCAAGTAGCTGAAGTGGTATGCAGCTTTAATCTAAAGGAAGATTGTGCAGAGACTTTGCACTATTTTAACAAGGGTAAACAAATATAAACGATGAGTGTTTCTCTGAGCCAGCACTCAGAATTTCCTTTTTTGGGTTGTTAGAGAAGCCACCAGGCATTTCGGGGCTGGAGAATGGATTAACAAGAGACATCTGCACTAACTCTCCTTGACCTTATTATAGCTGAGATTACTTTGATTCATTTTTCCCTCCTAAGATTATAAGGCATTAAATATGCAAGGCTAGCAAACTTGTGGTAAACCATAAACATTGTATTTTAATGTGAAACAGTTAGAAGGCTTCTTCTTTACAGGGATCCAAGTAAGCTTCTTGCCAAAACAATAACCTCCTTTTAAGAGAGACACAGTAACTCAGTGGGAATGGGATGCTGGAGGGACACTTATTAGTGAACTTGAGGCAAGTTGCATGAATCACAATTTTTATGACTCCTTTCAATGAACATCACAGTCCTCTATGTTGTGGGCTGTTTTGGAGCTATTTGGTATTAAATATAAGCTAAGAATGAAAGAGGAATTTTTAAAATTACGAAACATTTGTTTCTATCCTAGTGGATCTGGCAAAAGCTTCTAGGACATATATTCTGTATCTGTTCAAAGAAGTTGTTTTCTTTTCTTATTTGGTAGCTACTATGGGACAGTGTGATTCAAATGGCCTTTTATTTGTATTTCTAGAGGTTCATCTATGTAAGGGTAAATGTATAATTCTAAGTTGAAATCATGAGTCTAAAAGTAACACCCGAAATATGTTTGGGGACTTATAAGAGCTGCGGAAGGATTTTAAGCCATACCGTCTCAAAAACAGCTTGCTTGATCTCCATATAAGCAAATGGACTTTGTCATTTAGATTGTTCATTTGGAGTTATAATATTCATATATAAATAAGCTGAAATTTGGTGTAAATATACAATTTGTGATTTAAAGCATCAGGCTTACTTATTTCTTGGAACAAACGGAATGCACTGTATTGTTAATAAACTGATAGCCAGATGAGTCATTTCTGCTCAAAATATTGTGCAAGGCATGGGTACTGAACAAGAAATAACAAGGCACGCCCAGAGGGAGAGCATCCGCTAATGCGGGGACAGAGCGAACACACAAAACTCATTACAATATGTGATAAGTTAGTTAAGAGAGGTCAGAGCTGCATGCTTAGGACCATAGAAGAGGCAAAGAACAGATCCCTACTTGGGTTAGTCAGGAAATACCGGAGGGAAACCCAGAATCTCACATAATCTTTGAAGTTCCTCGGGAGGTAGGTATTCAAAACGGTAAGGGGGTCTGAGTGTCAGGGTTGATGTCTATTCTTGAAAAGAGAGAGAGAAAATGCAGAGAAATGTAGCTTTAACTGTCAGTTGGTACCAAATAATGAATGGCTTGAAATACAACTTAGGGAACATGGTTAACATTGACAAGCCATGAGATGTCAACACATGGTTGCAGCAGAGCCGAACAAGGTGAAACAGAAGCTTTAGACAATAACTTGGGCAGCCATGTGGAAGATGCTCTGGTATAACAGGAACATTCAGAGCAGAAATGAGTAGGACTCTCTCACAATGACTTAGGGAAGGGCTGAGGATCCCTAGATCAAGGAAAATGCTGGACAATCTAGAGATGAACATGGTTTGATGAGGTGTCTCTGGTAAGAGTTGGAGGTATTTCACTGTATAGGCAGAGATGTATTTGATCGTGGTATAGCACTGTTGAGGGAGCATAGGAAATCCCGACATGGGTTCTTACTAATAAAAAAAAATAACAACTGACCAGTGACATGGCACTCATAACCAGACCCCAAGACAAAACAAGCAATTTAGTACTGTTGGTATTGCTCCTGGTAAGCAAATGTGCTATATGTGCTGTAATCACCTTTACCTCCTTTCCAAGACTGTTTTGAGTGCCTGACTTATTCAAAACAAAGTGTTATTTTCTATTTGTCTCTGGGCTGACTCTACTATGAGATACTATGTAAGAAATAAAACACTAATTAAGTGACAACCTTGCTCCTAAACCCTTGGCTTTGTTTTTCAGGTTACCAGGTTGTAAAAGTACATGAGATAGTCATGAAGGTTACTCTCATCTTACTCCTTCTGGCACAAATCTCTTGGGCTGGACCATTTGAACAGAGAGGCTTATTCGACTTCATGCTAGAAGATGAAGCTTCTGGGGTAGGCCCTGAAGACTCTGGCCTTCCTCCTGAACTACCGTCCCTGGAGGACCTGGGTCCTGTGTGTCCCTTCCGCTGCCAGTGTCATCTAAGAGTGGTCCAGTGTTCTGATTTGGGTAAGTAATCAGGGCAATCTTGTGCATCATCTTCATGGAACGGGATTCTCTGGTGTTTGGGATTTGCCGGATATATCTCTGTGATTCCAGAAGCGAGACACAGCGCCACCTAATGAGAAGTAAGGGAAGTTGTCAAGGAGAAAGAGAACTAACTGAGCCTATGACTCTCTATGCTCTTGCTCCACACTGCACCGCACCCACCTAAGTTCTTAAGTCAGTTCCATCAACTCTGCAGTTTGCAATGAATCACTGAAAAACAAAGGCTTTCTGACTTTAACCGATCTCCTTTTGCAAAGTTATGTCTGCCAATGCCTCTTCTTGTAGTCTGTTTGCAGGGGTTCTTATCTGTTTTTTTTAATTCTTATTTGTTTTCTTAAGATGTCAGATACTAAGATAGCCTAGACAGTCCCTTTAGTCTTTACAGGGTCCAGGAAGCAGAGATTAAACATTACTAACTTGCAAAATATGCAGTTGCCAGAAGCAAAACATGTTGGATTGTGCAACAGAAATTTATCTTCCAGATACATAAATATTCCCTTTATCCCCCAGTCTTGGTTTTCTTCTTACCTTTGGCAGTTTGCAGCCAAGATGATTATGGTCTTTAGAAATTTTCAAAAGAAATAGTTACAACTGCAGTACAATGTAAATATACAAAACATTCTTGGAGCATGAAACTCTAGCCTATACATCAAAGACAGCTGACTTATCCTTTTAAAAGTAAAAACTGGCCTGGAATTCCAAGAGTCACATGCTTAGAAGATAAATCTTTATAAAGTATGAAGGCTCAGCAGTTGGGCCAGAGGTCAATGAACTTGGTTTCCATGGCAGCAGCTTTTCCTTTCTTCTTCTTCAATTGTATATTTTCTTATAGTAAAGGAAATAATGATCACATGTGTGTCTTTTCTTATGAAAATTAAATTTTCACAACCTAAGTAGTTGCTTCTCTGAGAAACCCCATATTTATTCAGACAATTTGCTATCCATATTTTGCAGAGAAATGGCTACTAATATTAACCAAAGGAATACACTATTATGCAAAGGAGCTCAGGAAAACATAAAATGGTTCAATATAAAAAACAGAGAAACATTTATCTCAATTTCCTTCAATACTGACACAATCTGTACCACACTTTGAACTTGCAGAGGGTGTGTACAACAGATGCTTTCTGAGCGCTTCAGATAGTTCATCGATCTGTTCATTTTTCTGGTGTATTACACCCTCTGATGGATCCGTGACATTTCAGGGGTGGGACTGTGAATTAGTATTGGTATCCATGGCTGAAGTTTTCCATAGGACTATCCTTGTCAGAGTTTCTATACAAGGCAGAGGAGGTACAATGTCCAATCTTCAGTCAACATTACCTGTTTATGATTGAGTATAAGCAGAGTTAAATACTTGACTGCATGTTTCCCACTAAGGGTTATTTGTGCTGATGTTAAACAACATTTATTCCTAAACTGTCCTTTCAGATACAAAAAATTAAAATTGAGAAACTAAAGCCATGCCATTTGTCTATGAGGAAATGGACACGCTTCTGGAAGATACACTGAATATTTGGCCCTAATGATAACTCTTCAGGGTGTCATCATCACATGCTTATCTAGGGCACAGAGACCTGAGAAAGGAAACATGAAATGGTCATGGAAAGTGGCCAAATTCTTTTGTGGATTCTGTTGCAATTTATCATTGAGTTGAACCAGAATCCTGATAAGACCCTTAGCTTCTCTTCTGTTTTTATCAGATAAAGAACACTTTATTGAAAACCAAGCAGCGAATGCAGTCTTAACTAATTAGGAAGGCCAGTTATTATCTTAAGACAGTGAACACAAAGTACAACTTGTTCCTTTTATATTTACTCTTAAAAAACATATGATTTTGTAAGATGTGGTTACACTATGGGTACCATGTAATAGTTTGGTACACATATGCATTGAGTACATTATAAATCTGTTAAACACGTCCTTCTTCTCAAATGTTTTCTTCACAAAAAATTCCAAACATTTCCTTATAGCATTCTGAAATATATACTATTATGTAGTTGTCTACAGTCGCCTGACTGTTCTACTTACGGCAAAACTTCCTTCTCTAACTGAACTTAGTAACCATGAATCATCAGACTTTCCTCACTAATCCATTCTGTCTGACTTCTGGTCATCACCATTCTACCCTCAACTTCTGTAAGTTCAGGTTGTTCATACTCCACACAGGAGTGAGATCATTCAATGCCCGTCTTTCTATTCCTTGTTTGTTTCACTGAGCAAAACGCTCTCCAATTTCATTCATGCTGCAAAAGACAGGAATTCACAATTTTTAATGCGCAGTAGTCTTTTGTATATGCACACCACAATTTTTCTAATTATTTACCCCTTAATGCATACTAGAAATAGTATTGTAACAAATTGCACAGCTTTGGCTTAGAAAATGAAACAATAGAGGTGAGAGACAGCCTACACATTGGGAAACCATATTTGCTACCTATAAAACTGTAGGTTTTTTTTTCCAGAACATATAAGGAACTCCAAGCATCCACTGCCAAAAAGTAAACAAAACCAGGCATAAATATATTGGTACTGAGGCTGTGCCTAGAAAGCCAGTCTCAGTTACTCCAGACATTTCCAGCTCAAAAAGCATAGCAGCACAGACAGTTATTCATAAGACTGAGTCTTGGAGGCCCAGTCTTGTCTAGACTTCCATGACATTTGGTCCTTTTAGTATTTGATTACAAATGAATGACAGACCCAATTTGAGAACAAATTTTCTGATCCCTTGCGAGATTTCTTGCTGAAGGTCATAAACCAACTGAGAATATTTAAAAGCTGCCATGTTTGAGGGGTATTCATCAATGGTAACAGTATGTTTTTAAAATGAGAAATAGATCAAAATACACATTTCTCTGAAGTGACCCATTAATACATGAATTAAAAAAGACTAAATATCATTTACTATCAGGGTAATGCTAATCGAAACTCTATCACCTGACAGCATTAAGAATAACTTTATCAAGAATACTAATGCTAGCCAAGGCTTAGGAGTGTGTTGAAAAAGGGAGTCCTTGAACTCTGTGGGGAAGAACTAAAAAGGAACATAACGCTTGTGGAAGGTCTTCAAAGCATTATAAATAGCTCAATACCTTCTAGCTGTCCTACTCCTGACCTTGTGGTAGAGAGGCACCTTCATACCCATGTTTACTGCTGCCTGATCTACAGAGTCACAAAACACAGAGTAGCTAACAGAAAGTACGGAGGAGAATGTAACTTATTCTTTTCCAGACGTTGAAAGTTGCCTGATTTTGATCTTGAGCAGTTCTGTTTTGTGTGGAAATGACATACCATCCAAAGAAGTTATTGACCCAAACCCAGGACCTTGTAAAACAGAGGGCACAAACAATCTTCTTTAGCTAAATATGTGACTAAAGATGCCATAAAAACACATTGCATTCAGAGAAGAGAAAGTGCTTCATAGGTGGAAACAATGGAAATGACAGAATGAAGATTCCGATAGCCAGTTTTGTCATAGAACATTGGAGGAAAAAAAAACCTTAATAAAAACAGGATCTGGAAAGACTTCACAACACGGCAGAAGAAATCTCAAGACTATACTGGTGAACTCTTCAATGTAGGGCCACAAGGCAGCTTGATTTTTTTAACTGATGTGTGGAAAAGAAGCCTGTGTACAGACAGAACAACTTCATAATGGAAAACAAAGCAAATAAATAACGACAACACTTATCTGTTTATTCTGAATTTGCAGGTGAACATGCAAAGATTCTAAAAAGATAAGAATGCATACGTTAGTTTGTGGTCCTTAAGGAGTGTGGGCTCAAGGTGCTCCATGGTGTGATGTGGATGAGTATTTATAGAGGAAGGACAAAGAATAAGCTCGAAAGGGACCTAAAATAAAAGTGATGCCTGGGAGGAATTTCTTATGAAACATCCATGGTACGAGCCAAAATGAATTTCTAGAGTTGACCTTAAGTGTCCAAGGTGCAGTAGTGGTCACATGTATGAATAACATACCAGCTACTTCTGGACTGAGGATTCAGATCATCTTGGTTGTTGGTCTAACTTAGCTATGAACTATGTTGGAAATTTCACTTCTCTTGTACTATTTATTCAGGAAAAAAAGAGGTTTCAATTAGGCTACAAATTACCCTCCCCAATTTTGTTTCTGGGACAAATAATTTTTTTCTTTTAGACAAGGCCTCACTATTTAGCACTGGCTAAATAAAGTTACCACACTGCTTTACGTTGTAGCCTTTATCAAGAAAGTTCACAGTGCAGTTTAGTACTGTGATGCTGTGAAGGGAATAATTTCTAAGGCTATATAGTTCAAAGTAATAATGATATACTACTGAAGTTGGCCAAATGGGTATGAGTCCATTAGTAATTCAGAGAAAATGCATAGGCATTATGATTTTTTATCACTAAAGTGTATCTCCAAGAGCTGATATGCAAATATCACAAGTCTGACAGGGCATTTTTATGCTAAGCCTTCTGCTACAAAGCATATAACTAGGTGAAACAGTTTCTGTTATAAAGTTCAAGGGTGACGGACTGAATCAAAGGATCAGTCATTCAGAGATGACATTCTTTCCTTACATGTCTCAGATTTCATGTCAGCTTGGAATTGTCCAAATGTTAAGACAGCCCCTAGAATTTTAGTTCACAATTATACAAAAGTAAGCATAAATGGAAATTAAATGCCTGAAAGCAATCAGAAAACGAGTAATAATGAGACATGGCACTGTATTCCAAATGGAAGGAAATCATGTCTTTTCGTGGTTAGATCACACTAATTATCAAGGATTTGGCAAAAGTCTACCTCCTCTAGTTCCATGTAATTAGCAAATTGACATTTTTGAAAATGGCAGTGATTATGATTGTGGAGTACCCTCACACATCCTCCCACAAGGTAGCTGTTTTTTAGTTTACTTCTCAAGGCTGAAAACACTTCGGTCTTACATTTCTATGGGAACTGTATCTGTAATGAGTTCTATGTTTATAGAGCATATGATGTCAGTTGAGTACCAACTGCATTTAATACTGAACTTTATTAAGACACTGGTCATGGATATAAGTAATATTTCTTCCCATTGTTGTTGGTGTAGTCGTCTCTGGACAAGACCAACAATAATAACAACAGAAAAAGACATCAGAAATAAGCTATTTTAAATGTATGTAATTTTCATAGAAGAAATGAAGAGATTTGAAATTTGAATGCCATATAGTTTCTGGGTACGTGTTCATTAAAAAAACTCAGAACTGGCAATCTCTCTTCCCAACATAGTAGTTATTATATTTTGTTGTGATTGTAGTTTTAGTTGAAAATTGAAGTCAATTTTATTTTCTGAGTTATATTTCCAAATGGGTAAAGTCTGTTTGCTCCAACTGGATATCTAGGCTCTGCTCAATGAAGCAAAGAATACAAATGGATATCGTGTGTCCATAGCACAAAGAGGGATGCTCTCTCAGCCTGGACTCTTAGGGGAGTGCCTGGACCCTGCCCTAAGTGAAATGACAGACTCTAGATATCCCCTATGTGGAAGAAATTGGCAATAGGGTGGGAGGCTGGGGGGATGGTGGGGAAGTGCTGGAGGAGGGGATGGAGAGGGAACTGGGATTGACATGTAAAACAAGCTATTTAAAGTTAAAATAAAAAAAAAAGAAATGCCAAATGAGTCAAAGGTTGTTAGTACTTCAGGCTGCATAACTTGTTTTTATAAAAAATAACAAATTAGAATTTTTGTTATGATATTTTAAAATGCAGAGACTGACACTCTGTGTGAGAATAGAGTTTCTAGGTTTGAAAATAAGATTTGTCTTTCTCTCACTCTTTGTTTGTGTATGAGGGGGCAGGGGATATGTGTGCACCTGTTTATATGAATCTGCACTGTGTGTTTAGAAGTGTCCATGGAACCAAAGAGGCCTTTGGATTCCCAGCAGCTGGATTTATAGACTATTGTGATCTCTTGATATGGGTGGTGGAAAGGGAACCCAGACCCCCTGCAGAAGCAGCAGACAGTCTTAAACACTGAGCTATCTCTCTGGACTCAAATGTATAGTTTTATTTTACTTCCTACACTTCCTAAAATGAAAATTTAAAAAAGTTAACAAAATTGATTAAATGACTCGTGAAACATATTTTTTTAAGACCGAGGACCACTTGATTTTTTTTAAGTGTCTGCGTTAATATACTGAAATTCTACATTCTAAAATGAAAGTGCCATAAAAATAATTTCACAATATTTACGCCCCCGAATTTTCCCCAATTTATACTACTACACCATAGATCAATTGATTATAAAATGACTATTAAAGCTGATATTGTCCTGGCATTCTAATTAAAATGAAAAGAATTACTCTCCCTAAAGCTTAGATACATTTCCATTTTACAAACAAGGGTTTCGTTACAAATTCAAATAGCTTTAACTTTAAATGCAAATATGTGTCAGTGTTGGATGTATAAAAAGGAGCACTCCGTTGATAAGGTATTCCTAGTGGTAGTAAAGGTTAACAATGCACTCCTACCAAACCTTTAAAAAACTTTGTTAAGAAGCAATGTATAGCAAGTGATTTGAGCAACATCCTAAAAGAAACACAATTTTCCTCCCTGCAGAAAAAACAATATACTGGAAACATTTTCAGTTTATGACTAAGAAAAAAATCCTTCACTTGCTTGGGAAACATTTTCAACTATAATTGATGTAAGTCTTGGAGAAAAACATGTCACAGACAGATGTATTATTGAAATTTTAATTTCCTTGTAAACTCACACTTATTGAAGCTGGAAGTGTTGTAATTTCAGCATTTAGTAGCCCTAGGCAGGAGGATTGCAAATGTAAGGCAGAGTACAAAGTGAAATATTGCCTCAAAAATTGCTTAAAAAGATCTTTTGTGATTCTGTAATTGGGAATTCCTTGACATGGACTATGTATTCCTGTTTCTTTTATGCTAGGTTTGGATAAAGTGCCCAAGGACCTTCCACCTGACACAACATTGCTAGACCTGCAAAACAACAAAATAACCGAGATCAAAGATGGGGACTTCAAAAGCCTGAAGAACCTACATGTAAGAATTATTTTATGTCTTCATTGGTTATAGAATCAGACTTGAATTGTTTTTTTTTCAAAACAAACCTACAATAAGGCCAAAACTAGATGTGGTAATAAAATAGTATATATGCATATGTTTATCAAATTCTCTTCCTGGTGATGGTTAATAAAGGAGAGCAACCTGTTAAACACCACTAAAAAAGAAGAAAAAAACCCACCAGTTCGTAAATATTTTCATTGGTATTCGCTTCATAATCTTTATATATTACTCTCTGTCCATATTTTCACGTGTAAATGTATGTATTACCTCAAATAGATTGCATTTCAGTCAGAATGACAAACAAAACACCTTCATTTTACTATTTTATGCTTTTGTTTCTTTTATCTTCTGTGATTCTGTGAATAATAACTAACATGTTGTTTAGGAAGTGTAATTCTACACACATGTATTTACTACAATATACTTTAGATTATTCATGTTGTTTCTTGAGTGTGAGTGTATGTGTGTTTTCACTCATCTCTACTTTGCTTTAGTATTACTAGCATAGTCAAGAGTATCAGAAAAGGGAGGGCACTTCCTTTATTATTATTATTTAAAAACAATCTTATTATACATCTCAGTTTCCTCTCCCTCCCACCCTCCCAAACCCCCAACAACCCTCTCATCCCACCCTCAATCTACTTCCTAGAGAGGATGAGTCGGGAAGGCACTTTCAAATGGGTTTCATGAGAACACTTCCCAAAGGTCTTGCTCGTACAGCAGCAGCTGGGAAACAGCACAGAACTGTGAAGTATTCACATCTGAAGATTATAGGAGGTGTGAGAACTACGGGACACAACACTGGAAAGTCACACTCGGACTTCTTACAGTTATCTATATTTCTGAATCTTCTTACAGGATTGAGAGGTTGAGGCAGAGGTCACCTTCTACAGACCCAGTGTAGTACCAAAAACAGCACAGAATGAGCATCATTGTAGTTGGGGAGTGTATCATGATCAACTCAAACAGTGTCAAGCTTCTTGAAGTCAACCTGTGTAAGGCCATCTATGGAGATCACTGGAGTCACCATGAAACTTGTTATCAGTTTTCCAGTTTGATTTACATGGAATAAGTGTGATTACTCTCAAAATACCAGTGCACACTTAATATAGGTAAGCCAGGCTTCAATGCTTAAAGCGTATTGCACTGTGAAAAATCTCAATATCTATACTCCACTGAAGAGCATCTCTTGAAGTATTGAGTATGATCTTTGACAAAGAAAATCAAGATGGCCTTTAAAGAAGAAGAGAGGGACAGTCATGGAGAGAAAACATACGACTGTTGCTTTCTCAACACCATTGATAGAGATGTCTACATAGAATGAAAGGTGACATAACTTATTTGAGAGGCCTTGTTGAAAAATAGGGACTATAACTACTTCTGTCAATAATGACACAATAAAATCATCATAGTAGGGAGAAACTTAAGGCAAACACATTTTCACTTCACATTAAATTATAATTTAAAGAGAATTTCTGGAAAATATACATTTTAGTGATATGACTCCAACTGTGGTGATAATAGTTCATAGATATTTTATTTTAACACTGAATGGCATAGTAATATAACACTTAATTCACATGTATTTACTTATTCAAAGTAGAATAAGCTAGTCTGAACACATTATAAAGTTAATATAGTCAAAAAAAGATTTAGTAGTGAATTACTTGACAGCCATGATGACTGTAGCCATAAATATTCATGAGACAGCATACCAGATTTGTAAAAGAATATAAAACATTTTTCTCAAACTCTAGATTCTATATTGACAATGCTAGCCAATGTGTAAACTGAAAAAAAATTAAAAGATTCCAGGATGCAACATTTTTTGAAAACCACATATCAAATAGATAAAATACTATTATATATGACAATTTCAGTTTGTCAATATGCCCTGTAAGCAACATGTAAGTAGTAAGCACTAAGAGAAAAATCAGATTCCATTGTATACCCAAGTTTCAAGAAACAAAATGTGTCAAGGTAACATTGTAGCAGTAGCTCAGGGTAGAAAGGCATAGAGATCTGAAGTTTACTTTATAAGAGAAAAGTAAAGGCAGCAGAAAATGAACAACTGACAAGAAGATATGCAGCCTGAGTGAAAGTTACAGGTTTCCATGCATGAGGAAGTGACTTGAGCAGGCAGCAGGAGCCCTGCAGCTCTTCTCTGCTAGGGCGAGTCTGCATCTCAATCCCCACATCACTGCCTTCATCTCAAGGCCCCGCCACAGAGTTGATGGAAAACCCAGCAGTGTTTGTCTGGGACTGTCCAAGTCACTGCTCCAAGAATTCTATTTAAGTGAAGATAAAGAGCCAGTATCATTTCAATTAACTGAAACACTTTAAAATATGAATTTTCTTTCACAAATTTTATTCCAAATCAACCTTTTTATGGAAGGAAATTTGTGTTACAATAACTTCTTAAACATGTAAGTGCAATATGAATAATTTGGGGGAAGTTCTTTATAAAGAGACGTCTGCTTTCTGCAAGGCTCTCTCCAACTCTACTAAAGTTAATAGAAGTTATTTCAGTAAGTTTCCTTCTGGAAAGTTTGGGAAACAGCTGTCACCTTGGCAAGCCTTTGTTTCTACTTCAAAGTGTCCATCGGAAGAAGAGGAGAGTTTATTAGAGCTTGTGATCATGCAGGAGATGCCAAATAACTCTTTTTCTCTCTGTCTTTTATTCTCAATTCCTTCCTTCCTTGTTATTATGCAAACAGGCATTATAATTTTGGTCAGGAAAACTGTACCAGAATGACAAGGAAGGAAAGAAACAAAAGTTTAGAAGGGATTAAAATAGATGAGGATTAAGGAGAAACAAAAATTCTTTATTCTCCAGTTGTTATCTGCATTTACAACTCTGTAGGTTATTGCATAAAGTAGTTTTATAGACCATATGTATGTATAGATGTGTATGTACACATAACCTTTATATATAATAGACCTACATTTGATATGCTTGTTTGAAATTATAGCTTAATAAATGTAGTAAGGAATGAGTTTTAAAATAATAATCAACAAAAATTGTAAGCCACTGAATACTAACAAATATCTGTTTAGCACTCATGGTATTATGGTTGTAGTTTTCAAATTTAGGAGGCCTTATTTTAATCCTCCTGGCTTTTATCACTTTAGTATCCCTCTCTATGGATAAGGAAACAGGCAGAACACACAGCACATAAGAGCCAGATCTTGAATATAGAGGGTCAGGAGCATTCTGTGTGAGCATGAGCACTAGCTATTGCTTTTAAGTTTGTGAGTGACTCCAATTAGACCCTCATAGCAATGCCTGGGACAGTGAAACCAACCCCTACAAGAACATCTTTTAAGAAAAATGCATAAAGTGTTAAAAGTCATATTTCAATATTTAGCAGAGTAAAACAGATATTTGGACTATATTGTATACATATGACAATGTCAGTGTTTCATTACTGTCCTCTGTAACTGACATTTAAGGATTTCTGTTTCATCTTAAATTAAGGTTTTGCAATCTTGAGGGCCTGCAAATAGTGCAGTTTGTCTTACTCTGTGTTCTCCTAGCTCAAGCCTCCACTGATTTTTTCCTTTTTAAAAATAATTTATTTAAAGTCTATTTTTGATTATGTTCTTTACCTTCCAACAACTCCTCCCAGATGATCCCATTTCCTTCCCACCCAACTTTATGTTCTCTCTCTCTCTCTCTCTCTCTCTCTCTCTCTCTCTCTCTCTCTCTCTCTCTCTCTCTTTCTCTCAGAAAATCAAACAACTGAAAAGAGGAAAAATGACAAATAAAAATACATAAACATAAACAACAATATGACAAAAGTACCAAAATATACGAAAGTTAGGGAATCCATTTTGTAGTGACGAGCTACTGCTGGGCACGGGGTCTGGTCTGGAGTATGATTGATATACCCAGTAATCTTAGATTGGGAAAAAACTGATGCTCCCTTTGCCAGCAGGTCTCAGCCACAAACAGCTTCTTAGGGGCAGGACTTGGTCTTCGCTGCTTTCTCTCGGTTCTGGGGTTTTTGTTTGGTTTGAAACGGAGCGTGTCTTGTGAGTACTACCACAGTCTCTGAGTTCATTTGTGAGAAAGTACTGTGCTGTCTGGAATATGCAGTTTCTTTGGGGTCATCTGGCACCTCCGGCTGTCAGTCTTTCTTCCTCTTCCACCTAGATTCCTGAGTCTTGATGGACGGTTGTGGTTGATAAAGACATTACAATTAGGGCTGAACGCTCTAAAATCTCTCTCCACGTTGTCCAGTTGTTGGTTTCTCTGTTAGTTACCATCTGCAGCAAAAAGCAGTTTCTCTGATTAAAGTTGAGCAGTTCTATGGTCTATGGGTATGGTATCAGGAGTCATTTTATGCTTATTACATTTTAGCAGGATAATAGTAGTAGGTAGTGCTGGTAGGTGTAGGTTCATCTTATAGAATGGATCTCAAGTACAATTCAAAATTATTGGTTATAGACATAACATATGTGTGACTATTGCACCAATACATCTTGTAGGTAGGTCCTTGTTGTAGGTCATAGGGTTTGTAGCTGGTGATATTGATGATTACATTTCTTCCCCAATACCTTGTGTAGTACCTTCCAACAGCATGAACACTCATCAGTAGGGCTGATGTTTCTAGTTGGGCACCAGTTCAATTTCTCCATGTTTGATGAGTTAAGTAAACTGTAACTTCAGGAATAGGGCCTTACCATTGTGGAGGGTGACCTTTGCAATATACTTTGATATTTTTGTTTTGTTTTGTTTTTGGAGCGGTCATGGTGGGGGGGCAGGCATCCATAAGACCCTTTGACTAACAATTCAACAAGATGTAACCTATCCCTGACACAGCGAGTTTTCCTTGGTAGTGTAAGGTGTCTTGTTGGGACATTATCTCCCCTGTTGTATTGTAACTCCCTTTAAATTTCTTTCATTTGTGCATATATTTAAGGAAACTTCCACTGTAGTGGGTTTCCAGATGGCTGTTCAAAAAGCCTTTAGTGTTATTTGCCCTTGTCCGTAATTCCTCCTTCACCATTCTCTCTCATCCCTTTACCTACTTAAGTTGCTTACACTAATTTCTACTTTCTCTCCTAAAATCCTGTATTCTATTTCTCCTAACTTGGAAGATTTCCTCCTTGTCCCTTACTAGCAGAGGTTACTAGTAACACACATATCTAAAGCATAAAGATAAGATATATATATATCATATATATACATGAGAAAACAAGCACTATATGTTTATTGGGGGGTAGATATGTACCTCAGACAGGATGATTCTTTTTGTATCCGTTCAATTTATTTACCTGCAATTTAAATTTTCTTAACAGCTGAATAATATTCCATTGTATAAATGTACCATATTTTCATTATTATTCATTAGGTGATTTGCAGCTTAGCTTATTCCCATTTCAGGCTGACTATTACAGAGAAGCAATGAACACAGATGAGCAAATATTTCTGAAGTAAGATGGATCTTGTGGTAGATCTATTGTCGGCTTTTTGAGGAACCATAATTATGATTTCCACAATGACTTTAGCACTTTGTATTTTCACCAACAGTTAATAAATGTTTCCTTTTCCTTAAATCCTACCCAGCTGTCATGTTTTATTGATCTTGGCCATCCTGACTTTGGTAAGATGAAATCTCAAGTTTTAATTTTCATTTCACTGATGGTTAAGAATGCTGAGCATTTCTTACTGTTTCTCAACCATTTGTGTTTTATCCTTTGAGAACTCTTTGTTTATACTCCATATTTTGTTCATTTGTTTCTTGAGACAAGATTTTTCCGTGTAGACATGTCTGTCCTGAAATTTGCTCTGTTGACCAGGCTAGCCTCAAAATCAGAGATCTGTCTGCCTCTGCCTCCTAAGTGTGGGGAATAAAGGTGTGCACTACCATGTCCAGCTCTGAAACCTATTTTTAATTGGGTCATTTGTTTTCTCTATGTTCAGATTTTTTACTTCACTGTATATTCATTCTATTCTGTTTATTAGAATATAATACTGTATTCTAATATGATATTAATGCTCTGTCTGTTGCATAATTGGTATTTTTTTCTCACTTTGTAGTGTTCTACTTTGCTCATGTGGTAATTTCCTTTGCTGTAAAGTAGCATTAAGTCCCATCAGGCACTATTTCTTAAATGCTGATCTTAATGCCTCAATAGGACCCATTGGGCCCGGATGGGGTCCTGTTCAGATAGTCTTTGCTTGTGCTAATGATTTCAACCCTATTCCCTAATTCCTCTTCTGTCATATACAGGATATCTGGTCTATGTTGAGGTCTTTGGGCCATTGGAAGTTGCGCTTTGTGCAGGGTAATAGATATGGATTTGTTTTTATTCTTTTACATGCAACCTTCCAGGTGGATTAACACCATTTGTTGAACATTCTGTATTTTCTCCATTGTGCATTTTTTACTTCTTTGTGAAAAACAAGGTGCCTTAGGTGTGTGGAATTATGTTTTGGTCTTCATTTTTCACCTATTAATGAAAGTGTATGTTTGTTATGCCAATGCCAGGCTACCATGCTATGTTTATTTACATAGCTGTGAAATACAACTTGAAATCTGGGATGGTGATGCCTCCAACAGGTCTTTTATTATTCAGGATTATTTTAGCTATTGTGATTTTTTGTATGTGCATATGTATGTGTGTGCTTCCATATGAAGTTTCAGATAGTTTTTCAATTTCAGTAAAGAATGGTGTTGGAATTTTGATACTGGTTGTTTAGAATCTGAGGACTACTTTGGGTATGATGGCCATTTCCATAGCAATAATCTTACCAATCCATGAGCACAGGATATCATCCCATCTTCCAATATCTTCCTTTCCAATGTCCTATAACTTTTATTATGCAAGTCTTTTCGTTTTCTTGGTTTGAGTTATCCCAAAGTATTTTTGAGCTATTATGAAAAAATTATTTCCCTGATTTCTTTCTCTTCGTATCAACTTTGCCATCTGCAGAAAGAGATAACTTCCCTTCCTATTTGAATCCCATTGATCTTCTTCAGTTGTCTTATTACTTTAGGTAAGAAGGAAGAAGTCATCCTTGTCCTAGTTCCTGATTTTAGTGAAAACGCTTTAGGTTTCTTTTCATTTATGAAGATTTTGACTATGGATTTACTGTAAATTGACTTTATTATTTTGTATACAAGTCAGTTTTATAATTAATCTTTTATATTTTTATATTTTAAGTTTGTCTATCAAAAGCAGTCAAGATTTTTATGAGCATATAATATACATATCTTTATACATATATAGCTAATGTACATATATAGCTATCTTTATATTATAATTCCTAAGTTTTGTAATCAGATGTTTTTGCCAACCAGAGTTTTGATAATTAACAGTTGAAAGCACTGAACTCAAGTCATTTTAAGTAAAAAACTTAAAATTAACATTTCAATTAGTTTAGATAAGCCTGTCAAGGATAGTCTTGAGTAGTTTCTTTTTCTGTAAATAACAAAATTTGGACATTTTTTCCTTTTTTTCTTTTTTTGGGGGTCACCAGAATAGGGCAGACTTTTTAGGACTGGGAAGTGAGTGTGATTAGGGTGCAAGATATGAAACCCCCAGATACTCAATAATCAATAGTAATATTATGTTAGGAAAAATTCTCGAATCCTTGGATTTTAGTTTAAAAAAAAAAGGAAACAGAAATGATTGCAATGATTGCTGTCATATAGTCCAAAATATACCTAAGCACATTTATACACACATTCATATATTATATTTTTAAAAGCATGCCAATCATGATTATTGGTGCACAATGAATTTAAAACAGAAGAGCAAAATTTAAATGGCTAAGTTTTCTCTTCAGGAGCACCATCGATAGAGAATGTTTATTACCCCATTACTGTCTTAGAAATCACCTCAAGTTTATAAAACACTAGTCAGTTTCAATTCTTTTTTATTATTTTAATTTTAAACAGCTTGTTTTACATGTCAATCCCACTTCCCTCTCCCTCCTCTCCTCCTGCACCCCCTACCATCCCCCCAGACTCCCACCCTATTGCCATTTCCTTCCACATAGGGGATATCTAGAGTCTGTCATTTCACTCAGGGTAGGGTCCAGGCATTCCCCTAAGAGTCCAGGCTGAGAGAGCATCCCTCTTTGTGTTATGGACACAAGATGTCTGCTTGTATTTCAGGGATAAACACTGATCCACTGCTCAGGGCCCCATAGGTTGCCCAGGCCTCCTCACTGACTCTCACATTCGGGGGGGGGGGGGGAGGGGTCTGGATCAGTCCCATGCTGGCCTCGCAGCTTTCGGTCTGGGGTAAAAGAGCTCTTGATAGAGGGTACCAAACTAGCAAAGCCTCAGTATTTTTATCATTATGGAAATCGTTACTGACCGAAGTACCATTGTCTCTATCTGAAATGGCTCCACAGAGCTGCAGTGGCTCAAAAGAATCCCTAACCCTTTTCCATCCCATGACAAATGCTCTAAATAGCTCAACAGTACTCCCAACTTGCTCAACACAGCTTCCAAATTGGCAAAGCCTATCTTACAAGTGGTAAGATAGGGCTTACCCCTTTAAGATATTTCTCACTAAAGTCAAGCTAAGCTTCCTCCTCGATCTGACAGGTCTCTTCTACACAGGGCACAGCAGGAGAAAAAGTAAATCCAAGTCGGAGGAGGCCTAAGCATGTCTCCCTGAAGTCTTCTACTATAGATTCTTCTCTCTTTAGTCACCTACTCCAACTACTTCTGGATTCTCAGTTCTAATGACAGTGTAGCCTAAGACATCCTCATGACAAACAGCGAAGCTGTGCCTTAAACAGAACGACTGATGCGGAATGAAATCTGTGGCATTGATAGTTCTTAGGAATCTGGTGTCTTTCAGTGATTTCTTTAGCATCATTTATTTAAAATAAAAATTATGAGTATGTGTACACACATATCCACCCTAGAGGAGCACATTTCCACATCGCTCCTGATTTCTTGTGATTTTGCAAATTTCTGTGCGTTGTTCAATTCTCTGTGTTGTTCAATTTCTGCAGACCTTGATTCTTGTCAACAATAAGATCAACAAGATCAGTTCTGGAGCGTTTACACCTCTAGTGAAATTGGAAAGGCTTTATCTCTCTAAGAACCAACTGAAGGAACTGCCTGAAAAAATGCCTAAAACCCTCCAGGAGCTCCGTGCCCACGAGAATGAGATCACCAAAGTGCGGAAAACCGTGTTCAATGGACTGAACCAGATGATTGTCATAGGTACAGATTTGATTATAGCTAGAGTACAATGTCTTAGGGAGCATGAAAGGGTTTCAAGAATCCTTATCTGCTGAAAGGGGGTGATAGGTCAGAGACCTGTGTGTCTGAAGGCTGTGTGAATAGCAGTCACAGCTCTAGGAGAAAGGGGACACTCTTCCTGGACGTTGGTCATCTAAGAATGTGAAAGTAAGACAGCCTACCTTGTTACATGAACAAATGTAACCGTGCTTAGTCAAAGGAATTTGGAGAAATCTTTCCATAGGGGAGTTTTCCTGTGTTCTGACCATCTGTGGATTATTTCCTTTCTAAAACCGTTTTATAAGGTTTTGGTGGGTGTGTGATTATTAGATGTGATTTTGCAATTGGCTTGCAAAATGATAGATGTAAATTCTTAAACAACATTTAGGAAATTTGTAGTAAAGTGCATTAACACCAGCTTAGCTTTTCTGGGAAAATTGTAAGTAGTGACATGGCTATTGTTTTTTTCATAAATATTTGTTTTACTTGTTTGATTCATTTGTTCATTCATACAGGGTTTCGTTGTAAAGCCAATCTGCCCTTGAATAGTGATCTTCCTGCCTGAGGCCCCTGAGTGTTGGTGCCTATTCCATTACAACAGTCTTTGTTTTGCTAGGACAGAGTTTCATTTCATTTTGATGTTTCTCTGAAGAGCATAGTCTTTTCTCCTACATTTTCATTTGTTTCTCAGTTAAGAAGCTATTAAAAGCTATTTATTTCTAGGATTATCACTGAAGCAGATACAGACATCCTAAAATGTCCTCTAACAGCCTTGCACTTTCTGTCATTGTAGAACTTGGCACCAACCCACTGAAAAGTTCTGGCATTGAAAGTGGAGCCTTCCAGGGAATGAAGAGACTCTCATACATCCGCATTGCAGACACCAACATCACTGCTATTCCTCAAGGTGACAAAAAGTTCTCCAAAATGTTTTGAGAAACAAAACTCCAGCAGCATTGACATTAAAAAAGAAATGATTGTGGAGATTTAAATTGGAACATGTGCGGCAAGCCTATCTTCAGTGAACTCTCAATTCCTGGAGGTGGCTTTGTTGGGCCTAGTTGACTAATGGGTCATGCAGACACAGATAGAATTCCTATGAAGTCTCTTCTAATACATAATTTAAGATGCAGTATGTTTGTGGTCTCCATTCATGATTTCCTAAAGAAAGCATACAGTTAATAAGAGTCCATTAATGTTTTGTTTAAAAAAGCAAAAGAAAATAAGTGCTCATACATGGTAGTATCTCTGAAACTGAAACAAATTTAACTTTGATTTCATTCCATTAATCAGTGTCTCCATAAGCATATACAGCTGATGGCCTGATATTGGTCATCATAAAGAATGTAGACATCAGAATCTTTGCTTGGGCTCAAGTTGTCATTAATTGGCTCAAGGAATCTCAAAGTTTTATGATTAGTGCCTCAAATTAAGTAGAATATATGAGTATAGATGGAAAACTAATATTGCCTTACATTACTGTGTGAAAATGTATTAAAGTTTCACGCTCACACAGTGTGTATTGGAGACATATTGATTAAGAGACTCTGTTCCTCAAGCAAACCAGATTCCAGAAGGCTGAAGTGCGATCACTGTCACCAGTGCAGCTTCTGCTGCCACACAGAATCTTGTCCTTGTGAACTGGCAACAGCAGAAAAATGCCTGACAGATGTGCATTGAATTTCACTTTCTTCCCACTCTAAGTTCAGTCTCATAAAAGTCACTCCACATTTCCCACCTATCCTTCACCCCTGCCCTCTTCAACACAGGTGCCTTTCTCTGGAACTGGGTACTAGGTGCAAATTCTCATCTACAGGAAACATTGGTTACTTTTACATCCCAGAAAGCTTTCTTCTAATCTCTGCCTACTCCAGGCTTCTAATACAGAGGGTTGTTTGGTACCCGAGGAAATAAGTATTGGGATAGTTAGGTGCATGCATGCATGCATGCATGCATACATACATACATACATACATACATACACACATACAACAAAACTTCACTGAGTTAGAGAAGGAAGGAAGGTGGTATCTCAAATTTGCTTTATTAAATACACCTTTGTCGCAATTACAGGAAGACTTTTAATTTTCATTTGTTTATGTCTAGAAGATACCAGTGGTTGCAATATCTTATTACAAAAGCAGTTTATACTTCCTAATATTTATTTATGAGAAAAATTCAATTATTATTTAATTTCCTCTGGCTTAGAGAATGCTATTGAATTCTCCTGTCCAGATGGGAGCATGATACACTTCCTTTTTAAAACTTACAAATTTGTAACTTTGAGTGTCTGTTTGGTTACTAAGAAAAGGTATTGATATTCAACATTTTGCACATTGGGAAAATTAATGTAGTTGAGAAAAGTAACACGGTCAATTCTTGGTACATAACAAAAGCAGGGAAAATAAAAGCTTATTTATTTACTCACATTTTCATAGTATCTGCTATCAAAACATTCATCTATAAAGAAACATAATAATTTTAAAACCAACATATAAGACATTGCAATAAATAAAATCATTAACATAATTTGGAGATTGTAATGTAAATTTCTTAGCAGTGAAATCCATTATTTCCTAATTGTATGTCCTTATAGACAAAGAAAATGAAAACTTGCTTCAACCCAGTACTAGGTCTGCATGCATTCATTTACCATTTGCCTTGCAGCTGTTGTTAGTCTTCACAGTGGAAAACTGTATTATTATCAGACATATAAATACATAGAAGACACAGAGAAATGAAAATAAATTCAAACATTGCTTACTATTTGCATCACTAAATCTTTGGAAATAACAATCATTAAAGATGCATATTTGAGAGTTTAGTGCAGCCTTTGGATGTTAGATTAGGTATTCAGGTACTCTACGTATATCAGGTTAATTGATTATAGGACACTTCACACCCCTGTTAACAATAAAAACAGTCTGGTTTAATAGGGTCATGTAAGCCAGAGGTTCTCAACTTGTGGGGCGCAATGCCCCTCAGAGGCCTTCAGAGATCACCTAAGATAAGTGGAAAATACAGATGTTTGCACAACAATGCATAACAGAAGGAAAATTACTGTTATGAAGTAGCAATGAAGATAATTTTATGATTTGGGGTGAGCATAACAAGAGGAACTGTATTAAAGTGCCATCTCATTAGGAAGATTGGGAACCACTTACAATGTAACTTTTAGCTATTGTTGCATTGCCATGGTGCAGAGGCATCAAATGCTCTCACAGAGAAGTTAAGTCTCACAATACAATAGTGCTAGTTATGAATAATACTTGTAAATGAAATACCTGCTTACATTTACATACAGACTTAAAAGATACACAGATACATTATCCTTCCATTTCAGTTGCAGTGTTCACCTACTTATTTTGTCTTGACATCATGAATTGTTCATCAACCAGCATCAATGTAAGCCTACTGACTCAGGTGGAAAGAACAATGAGAGATCTGGTGTTTGACTTCCATTCTACAGTTGCCAGCACAAAAGTCTATCAAATGATGTAAAGTGTTCACAGTTATATATAAGTCTATGAGATAAAAACAGTGAAGAAGCACATCACTATAAAGTGTGTGTGTGTTGTTATTGTAAAGAGAAAGAAGGAAAAAGACGAAGACCAACATTATTTGAAATGACTTCTTGAAATCGACCACATGTGTCCCCATTGAAAGAAATTTTCCATTTATAATGCTTGGTGGCTGATTTAACATCTTTTTGCACATTCCAGGTCTCCCTCCTTCTCTCACGGAATTGCATCTGGATGGAAACAAAATCACCAAAGTCGATGCATCCAGCCTCAAAGGACTGACTAATTTGGCTAAGTAAGATAATTTAATATTTCTTATCAAAACTATGGGGGATGTGTCATCCATCTTTAGACACACACAGCTCTACCTATTTTACAAACTATCTCAAGTTATATGTTTTGAAGTGAAATTCCATCTAACCTGACGAATTCTTGACAAACCAATGAACTATTGGAATTACTATGGACAACAAAATTGATAACATATTTTGTGGATATTTGGCTGTTTTAAGTATTTTGTAAAGGTGTTCAATTAAAACAGGTTTTAAATGTCCATTTAATATATTCTAATTTAGTGTCATCAAAGAGAAAGTTAAGAAAACTGTAACAAGTTAATCCAAATTTGAGAATGTATTCAAATGGCGTCTATATGGACATAGAAATATTACTTTCTGAATAACTGCAATGAAATTATCTAACCTCTCTTCTCTAAAGGACTTAAAAGAAAATGTCATTGCACATTTACTTCAGACTTAAAAAAGAAAGAATTTTTGTGGCCCTGTGTAATCCTGTTTTTCTCTGTACATCTGTTTTCTAAATGGGTTTCATATTCCCTTTATGTTTAATAGTGGGCTACATAAGAAAAAGCAAACTGATGAGTTTATTCAGGAGTCTCCAAGGAATATTCTTAAGGGTGTGTACCTGCTGTAGCCAACACGATAGATGAGTGAATATATGAAACGCATATCTTTAGCCTTGAGAAATGTCAGTAACAAGTCAATATATTAGGTATCTTTTCCTGCTTCCATGTGTAGTCTCTAAATGACCCAGTACATAGTGAACAGAAAGAATAAATACAACATTGTGAATATATAGCTATATGTTTCCCTGGTGTCTGAAATAATAAGAAAAACTCCATGTAGAAAAATTTAACCCATTTCTGATATAAAATTGTTGTTCACAGTAATTTACATTATGCATCACTAATCTTTCCTTACTTATTAATTCCTTCTAGATGTAGAAAAATATAAGCAGATAAATTGCATTAATTGTTACATACATTTTCCATTAGGATCTTATTTCCATATTATTACTATGATAATGATTAATAGCAGTAGTATAAGAGGACAATATTTTAAACCTCTAAGAATGACAAATCATTCATAATATATGTGTTTCTTTGGAAAGATATTTGTTATATGAAAACCAGTAATAGATTCTGGCATTGCAAATCTTGATATTGATGACATGTACTATCTTAAACAGAAGCTTAAAGTACTAATAAATTATAAAAAGGCTAATAAAAAATTAGGTTTCTTGGCAAGTGGATTCTGAATTTCATTTAATTACTGTATCCATAGGATCAAGTTTCCTAATTCTTGAAAGTACCAAATCCATTATTTTTGGAATAAAATACAGAGTAAATTCTTTATTAAATCATCAAATCATTGTGTTCCTTATTATTCAGTGATGTTGGAACACAGTCAATGAGTTAGTGTTGAAAATTAAACAAAAAAAAACCATAAAACCTGTGAAAAGAGACCAAAAACCTCTTTTTATGGCAGATTTCCAGCTTATTTTCAGGACTGTGTTGGGAGAAAATACTACAAATCACTCTTCTGAAGTGCAAAACATAAATTATTATTAGATACATATAGTCATATATATGGCATACACAGGCATGCGTGTCATGTCCTTTATTAGTAGAAATATTTTTCAATGGTAAACATGCTTTTTGAGGTTTCTCACTGGTCATTTTAATCCTTGGAGAAATACAAATTTTCAAAAACAATTATTGATTGATTATATAAGCAAGTATTTTAAGATAATATTATTCTTGAAAAAGTTGTTAGGAACTGTATAGTCTAAGATATAGTCTACTGCAAAATTGATAACAGGGACTTGGAGCATCACAAGGTACAGGAGACATAATTCTGAAGTGAAAAACAGAAGGCCATAAATAATAAATGGGTATCTAAAATGAAAGGAAAAATCTAAACATTCTCAGCCAAGATGCCAAGTTAATAAACAGCAACTATGACAACCAGTGATACTATTAATAAAAAATCTGCACATTTTAAACATTATTTGACAATAAAGCCAGGGTCATACTTGGGGCACTTTATTTATGTAAGGACAGCAGCATCTGAATTCCATGGACTCAAGCCTTGGACCTATCTGAAAGTTGAAGAAATCATTCTGCAGTCTTCAGGCCAGCCCTTTGTATGCTAAGGCACTTGATAAACAGTCTCCTCCCTTCTTGCAGCTGTTAGAGCCCTTTCATTACTCCATGATAGTCCTGGTATCTGCCCTATGGATTAACATCTCTCTGCTTTGGGTGGTTTTATCCCTAGAATGCTTAATGAATTAGTCATGCCTCCAAGCCAAATTCTTCTGACTTGGAATCCCATTAATATCATAGAATCCTCATTTGCTATGCCTTTAATTTAAGAAATATGAACCTAGACCTCAACCAAATGAAGCTTATAAAACACAGAGAAATGAGTCAGCTGTCTGAGTGGGGGGGGGGGCGGTGAAACTCATAGCAAGCTGACCCAGAGTGGCATTAGAGGGTCTCTGGAGAACTTTATTTTATCTGCTACAACACACCAATTCTATTTATTGTTCTAGAATGGAGGCTACTGACATTTTAGAATGTTTTACCTTCAATTTTTCCATGAATAAATATACATGATAAACAAACAGATACATCATTTCCAAAGTGACTAAAAGGCTCCCAATGTTTCCTTTTGTTCTTTACCAAATGAATTTGTGTTTTTATTATATGTATAAATAAATTCATGGCTATTTGTGGACTATGTTAAATTCTATGCTGATTCTATGTTAGGACTAGATTTACTACAAGACATTTGCTATTTCACTAGAGAGACATACAAGTAGTCAATTCATAACACTGCCTTTTATGTTTTCCAAGATGACCTCAGAATGCTGTGGAAGAATATTTACTACAGGTATCCATCCAGGAGTTTTGATAAAGGTCATGCTGAGCTGAGAATTGACTTTTGCGGTGATAGAGATGGTTCTGATGGTGAAGTCATTGCAGTACAATAATGAATACCGGAGTCCAGATTCCCTACATAAAAACCGGTGGCACTTGCCCTGGAAGAAAGAGACAGGATGATTTCTGGAGCTTGCTGATTGACTAATTGTGGCAAATTGATGGACTCCAGTTCAGTAAAAGACTGTCTCAAAAACTAAGTTGAGAATTATGGAGCAGGATAACCAGTGTCTATATCTAGCCTCTGAATCCATGTGTACACATATATTTGCTCATGCATCTTCACACACACACACACACACACACACAGCAAGCATAGTTTTTGTCTAGACTCAGAAAGGTTTGAAGAAAACACTTGAGAGGAACAGTTCATGCAAAAGCAAGGGATGTCTTATCAAATTTCCTACAGCCTATAAGAAAGTGTTTCCTCACTGCTATGCACACCAATGTCTCCTCTCTTCTGCAGGTTGGGGTTGAGTTTCAACAGCATCTCTGCCGTAGACAATGGTACTCTGGCCAACACTCCTCATCTGAGGGAGCTCCACTTGGACAACAACAAACTCATCAGAGTGCCTGGTGGGCTGGCGGAGCACAAGTACATCCAGGTAATGCAAAACCATTCCTACTTATGAGGAACAACTGGAGCAGAATCTCCCAGTGTGATTGTGGGACGAAGGGAACTCTTCTCAGGAATAGTTTTTAGTGCCGTAGCCTTCTACTAGCTCAAAAGGCTTGAGAACATTCACAGCCTAAGATCAGAGTGCTAGCCTGCCTGCGTTCTGGTGAGGGCCTAACCCAAACAGTGAACTCCTGATGTCAACTCTTAGTCTCACATGACAGAAAGAGAGTGTCTTCCTGGAAGGGCAGTAACCCCATTTGAGACTGATTACTTTTCAAAGGCCCATACCCCATGCCACATTGTTGGGATGATATTTTAAAACATGATTTTGGGAGGATACAAAATTCAAGCCACTGCATAGAAAAGAATTTTAAGTATTGTGGCATATATGGTCTTATTGTATAGAAAGCATGTTTAACTCATTAATTTTAAACTAACTATACATTGACTATAGTATAAAACTCAGTGCTAAAATGAATATTTCTTATGAGGTAGGCTGGTTTGAAGTCATAGATCAGTATAACAAATACCACTTGTATAAGGAAATTAGTACATGATGAATGACATAGAGTAAACTAATTTGAACTGTAAGTAGATTCACAGCTGATAAAAGTAATGTATTAAGTTTATACAAATTATCAAGTTATGTAGATTGGTAAAAAACATAGGAATACAAGAGCCAGTAGTCCATTGGGGTATAGTCTTTGTGTCTCTAAATCTAAAAATGAAAAGCATGCTTACTAGGTAGTGACAAAAATAATTACACATAATAACAGACAGACTTCTAGTGGTACTTTGAGAAACTAAAACAAAAATGTTTATTCAAGCTATTCAAGAAACCAGTACTTTTTAATTTGTCTTATGTACATCATTATTTTTCTATTTTGTTCAGTCTTTTTGGGGGGAGTTTTATTATTTATTTATTTATTTATTTATTTATTTATTTAGATTGATTTCTTGAGACAGAGTCTCACTATATAGCTCTGAGCTCGGACTGTCTTAGAACTCACTCTGTAAACCAGGCTGTTCTCAAACTCAAGAAATCTACCTACGTTTGCCTCTTGAATTCTAGGATTAAATAGGTGTGTTACCACACTCAATTTTTTTAAAACCCTCTTACATTTAAATATGCGTCACATTCAATCACTGCGTCTCAGAAGCATTATTTGACATATTTTATAGGTAAAATAATATAATATCTAAGTTTTTCTGGTGACTCAGGGTAGACAGACCTGTTCTGTCCTCAGAAATGCCAACACACATCTCACCTCCCATTTGTTGTTTACTTGAGGCAAGTTCAAGAACATTAGACATTAACTAGGTTGACTAAGTGACATAATGTGAGCAAGAAGCTTAACATATTTTCTTGAGTAGTTGCTGCTTTTGTGGGGTGTAGTGGATATATAGTGATACTTAGACTTGACAAATCTAGCTATACTTTTTACTGGTAAGGTTTTCATCATGCTTAGTTTTGTTTCTTTGACCCTACTTTTACCTTCTTTATACTTGGTTTTCTCGTCAACTTGGCACACTCTATAGAGACCATGGAATTTCTTTACTAGGAACATTAAGGAGTGAAACACAATAGAAAGCAATTGTCCATTTTGATGCCACTTTCTGTAATTTTGTTCCATATGTTTCTGCTCTAAGCTTGAAGACATAGTATACATTTTTCTGTGAGTTACAAAGAAAGATAATTAAGCATTGTGTTTCAAAGAGTGTTAAGTTTAAGGAAATAATTTCAGAGTAACACATGTTTGGAAAGTAGCATTTTCAGCTGTTTCTCCTTAGCTTTTAGTACCTGTATCCTATTTCCTTTTCTCCTTCAAGATCCTAAGGATTTTACACATACTAGTTCTTTTTCAGTTATTTTGTAAAATTCATAAATATTTATTTGTTTTTTATATATGTTATTAACTCTTTGAGAATTTTAAGCATGGAGGCAAGGTATTTTGCATATATGTATTATATTTTGTATACCATCCCTCCTCCCCGTAACTCCCTTGTGTCCATTCCCTACCCCTTAAACTTTCAAACATTGTATCCTCTTTATTTATCTCTCTCTTTATTTTCTATATAATTCACAGAGTCTATTTGTGCTGTCCATAAATTCATGGACCATTCACTGGAATATTGTTAATTTACTAAGAACCCTCAAGTGGAACATGTTCACATACTCTTATAGAAAACTGAGACCTAGAAAATTTGCAAGAGACAAGAATGTGACCAAGTTTTATTGTCTGAAAATGCTTAAAGTAAATTTGAGAAAAAGCCGGGCGGTGGTGGCGCATGCCTGGAGGCAGAGGCAGGCGGATCTCTGTGAGTTTGAGCCGGGCTGGACCGACAGCCTCCAAAACAATGCAGAGAAACCCTGTCTCATAAAAACCAAAAAAAATTGAGGAAAAAAAAAAGGAAAATTGACTCTTGCTGTCTAGCAAGCATCAATTGTCAATAGCTATGTGGGGGCTTATGAGTCTCTTCCTTCTCCCTACTGAAGACTTGACTGCGTTGATCCTGTGCAGGCAAGCACAATTGCTGTGCTCTCATGAGTACAATAACCCTGTTGTGTCCAGAAGACACTATTACACCCCTTTCATCCCCGACCTCTGGTTTTTATCATCTTTCCACACCCTCTTCTGCAATGTTTATTGCACCCTTAGAGTGGTTGAGGTGTGATATAGATATGGTATTTATGCCTGAGCACTCCACAGAGCATTATGTTCTATGCTGTGACCAGTTGTGACATTCTGTACTAACTGCCATCTACTACTCAAAGAAGCTTCTCTGATGAGGTCTGAGATGACCCTGACCTATGTTATGTAGTCATTCCACCACTGCAACAGAGTTTTAGAGAGGGCATTTCCCCCCCAAATTTCCCTCTCCATCATTTTAGCTTGCCATCTACTGTGTTATGTATATAGGGATGGCAGTGGAATGTAGATTAAGAGTGATATAACTTTCTTGTCTTAAAAGGGGGAGGGTTGTTCACATTTGCCATTAAGAAAGGCACTAACTATAGCTGTTTTGCAAATTCTCATTATCAAGTGATGACACACCCTTCTGCTCCTAGATTAGCTGAAATTTTGAACATTTTCTTCTTCAAAAAAATTGTCTGTGCTTGTGGAGATAATGTTTCATATTTCATTGCTAATATACTAATATAGTGTACTAAATTAATTTATTATAAGTTGTTAAATGAGTTTTAAATCCTTGAGATATATCACTCTTGGAAGTAGTATACAGTCTTTCTACATATTGTGAAATACAGTTTCTTAATACTTCATTCAGTATTTAAAAATTATGCTTATCTGACTATAATTTTCTTTTTATGTGGCACCACTTCTTGTTCACAGTCTGTTGCTTGTCATATTCCTTGACATAGTCTTTAACATTCAGCACTGTCAATTATTACTAAGTATTACTTGTTTTTCTTGACAAGTTCTGCTAGAATAGAGGACAGTAATAACAATATAACGTTATCAAAATGTAAGAATCCTAAATGAATTATCAACACTATTGCTTTGTTTTTAACAATACTCCTTTCTGGTTTTTTTTTAACACTTTATACCATTGTCTGCTTAGGCAATTATATGAGTAAGGGTGTTTTAAACACTACACAGACATGGATTTCCCTGTAGGTTACATATTACAAATCACCACTAGAAGACCTTATTCCAAAGTCTTAACTTCAAATTTATTTTGCATTATTTCACTGTATAGCCTAGATTGCATCCAAAGTCATGAGTCTCTTGCCCCATCACCTAAGTGCTAGGGTTGTAGTTGTGCTTCATCATATTTGGTTGATGTCTCTCTCTCTCTCTCTCTTTCCCCCCCCCCCCCTCTCTCTTTCTCTCTCAGTTTTTCAAGACAGGGTTTCTCTGTATTGTTTTGGAGGCTGTCCTGGAACACTCTCTGTAGATCAGGCTGGCCTGGAACTCACAGAGATCCTCCTGCCTCTGCCTCCCGAGTGCTGGGATTAAAGGAGTGAACCACCAACGCCTGGCTGGTTGATGTCTCTTTAGTTTTTAAATAAATCTGGTGTCTAGTAACACTGAGAAAATTTAGGAGCAAATTATCACTGTATTAAACATGACAAGATATATTTTATAAAACATCTTGACGAACTAAAGTTCAATATTTTTATAGTAGAGCTTGTAAATTAAATATCAGCAGAGTATTATGTTGGTACTCTCCTGTAATCCCAGAGTTGGAGATGTTGAAGCAGGAGAATTTAAAGCTTGACAACAACTTGAGCTACCCAGAAAACAAACAAAATAACAAATAAAAGGAAAATCTTTTTTAAATACTGCCTTTGTAAATGTGATACTTAAATATAATTCGGAGTTTGTGCTACCTTATTAAAATTCTAATGTGTAAATTTTTTTGTTCATTTCATTACATATTACTTCCTCCTACATATTTTTATTAAGTGGATTAATATTTTGGTTTTTGTTCTAAAGGTTTAATATTCTGTGTAGATAGTATATGGTAAATGCATATCTAATATGTGTGACAATACCCATTCACTTGGTGTACTTCTTGGCTATCTCCTTTCTATATAGCAGGCACTGGAGATGTAGCCTTGAACAAAAAGGTAGAAACTTCTTCCCTCTTTTAGATTTTTCTCTGGAAAAGAAAAAGAGGAAGCCAGTTACACTGAATAGTGACAATTGCTATGAATAAATATGAATAAAGACAGATGGGACTGAATTAAGAACAGCAGATTGGGATGATGAGAGAAGGCCTATTTGTTAGGAGAAAGCAAGGTAGCAAGCCTGCAGATGCCTTAGGGAAGTTACTGCAGGTGAGGAAGCCTGTGTGTGACAATGGACTGGGCATGACCAGTGATAGGATAAGATACAGCCTTGGAACAGAATAGTATCAGGCTGTAGAATGTGAAATCCCTGATGACAATTTGCTTTATTTTTTCAGCACCCCTTACTTCAGCCCCGGGAAAAGGCAGGGTGAAATTTTCACCTTCTGTTTTTGTGACATGAATATTCTTTTGGCCTCATCTCTTTTTGTTGTTTTTGCTTTGTTTTAGAGTCCCTCTGGGATATAAATTTTCTTTTCTTTTTTTTAAAAAGTGGACTTTTGAAAACCAAAGGAGAAAGTAGGAGGGACAACCAGCGGTTGCAGTAGTTGAGGGAGTGGCCCTGGAGACTGAGGCTATGGGAGTATACATCAGGACCACTCTGTGGACACACTTTGAAGATTAGATGGCAGAACTGGATGATGAGGTAGAGAGTATATAAGGACGCTGAGTGCAAGTGTAATTGCAATGTTTCTAGCCTGAGTATCTAGGAGGATTAAGGAGCAACTTGAAGAGATAGGGCAAACTGAGGAAGGAAAAACAATTTCTGAAAGGAAAGCAGGAAACAAAATTTGCTTCGAGGAGTGATAATGTATTCCTACCCAAAGACCCAAATTAAAAATAGTATTTATGTAAGGAACCTCAATGCACACACAGAGAATAATCATTCCACACTGTTTTATGCTGCAGGTTGTCTACCTTCACAACAACAACATCTCTGCGGTCGGGTCAAATGACTTCTGCCCACCTGGCTACAACACCAAAAAGGCTTCTTACTCCGGAGTGAGCCTTTTCAGCAACCCTGTTCAGTACTGGGAGATCCAGCCATCCACCTTCAGATGTGTCTATGTGCGCTCTGCCATTCAACTAGGGAACTACAAGTAACTCCAGACAGCATCATTCTTATAATCTGGAAAAAAATAACAACCCAAAACCCAATCTGTCAGTATCATTAGTAAAAGGGGTGGGGGTGGGGAGAAAACTAGATGCTGGAAATTCAAGAGTATTGTAGATGCCTTTTCCACACGACCAATCATGCATCAAGCCAAATATGCAGATTGAATAACTGCCTACAATAAAAATATTTTGCCTGCAATATTCAGAATCATTTCTAAATGTTTCTGTAGATATGAACTAAGCTATTAAAATCTGATGTAACCATAGAGGCCAGACTTTTAATAAAGCTTTAAAAAGAACCAAATACAAAGTATTATGTAATTCATAGACATAAATTAACTCTTTTGACATAAAGTCAAATGCCAAACTCTAGCAGTGTATTAGTCTTCTTTATTATTGGTAATGCCTCATTTGAATGTGTAAATTCAATACAGGCTGTGTAAAATTTTCACTGTCATTTTATTGAAAGAAATAAAATTTTGAAAATGCATTCAAAATGGATATTTTATAAACACTTAATTCTAAAACTTCCAGAAATCCCTGGGAAGTTGATAATAATAGTATAAATTTTCAAATTCATAGCATTTCCTGTACTCTTTATACTTACATTTGAGAATGACAATGAGTATTGTCTACATTCAGTGTTAGGCTTATAAAGCATGAAACAGATTTTGTTTCATTAGCACAAAGAACTCACATTTTCCGTACTCACTCATTCATAAAATCTATTTTAAAAGAACTATATGGACCATCAGGCTACTTATCTAGACATTTCTGCATCTAATGATGTAATGAAAATTGATATTGCCTTTAGTAAGCTTCTGACTTTAGGAAAACATTTTTTGAGTTGGATTTTGGAACAGCTATTGAATCGGGCATTTAAGCATACCTCAGGGGTAGGCTTCTGGGCTTGGAGAATTTATGATTTGGAATATTTGGGCCATCAATACCTAGTGGGGAAATAAGCAAGAACAGTCTGACTCTGCTGCAGAGTTGGTTGTCCTATGGTCAGCAATCATAAGATGACACATTAACCCTCACATTAACCCTGCTTTAAACACAGTGTGGGCGCATTGTTTAGGATGAACTTCCAGGTTCTCTTCAGCCAGAGGTCTCACCAACTCCCTTCCTTGTTCTTGCAGCATTACTCCCCTTCCTTTCCTTCCCAAGCCGGCTTCCCTTATGACTGTAAAGTATGAATTCCACCACAGGTTGCTCTTCTACGATAGTGTAAACCTGATGTGTATTACTTCTGCTCACTGTAGAGCACCTGCTGGTAGCCACACGGATCAGCTGATTATAACTAGAAGTCACCAGAAGAACACCAAGAAAAGGGCAGGACAGTGGCTGAGGAATGAATAGATAAGTACAACTAGAGAAGGACTCATAAATACTCAGTTGTTGAGTGAGTTACCCAAGTCCCAGATAAGATATATGGTCAGAACCTTCATTGTGCCCTTTGACTGAACCCTAGTAATAGGTTCTGCATTGATTAGAGGTGCAAAGAAAACCTATTAAAAAGGGCCAGGAAGACAGCTCTGTCAGTAGAGTACTTGCCCCCTAAGCATTAAGTCCTGTGTTCAGTCTCTCAAACATATATTAACAAACAAGGCTCAGTGGCACTTGCTTGTAATTCCAGCACTAGGGAGGCAGATCTCCAGGACTTGATGATTAACCAGCCTAGTGTAGTTCAAACAATGATCATTAGAGGCCATGTCTCAAAAACAGCAAGGAGAATGCCAGCCCCAGGAATGACACATGAGGTTCAACTCCAGTCTCTTTACCCATGTATATATCTGTGAATGTGCTCTGACTCACGTATGCACGCACACACAAATAGGTTCTAAAATATATATGTGTATATATATATGCATATATATATTATACACAATATATCTGATAAAGGTTTGTCTAATGACTGGTTCAATACAGTCCTTTAAAAACCCCTTTCTGTTGTGCCTATAACATAAGCACAGATGTATTTGATATGTGCAGAGAGGGCAGAGCCATAGATGCTGTGATGCACATGTAAAGACCAGAAGATGGCGTTCTGCCATCTCTTTAATTTTTTCCACATTAACATGGACTCTTGTGATTGAACTAAGGTCATCAGGCTTGGGGGTGACATGTGTCTTTTCCTGCTGAAACATCTCACTGGCCCCAACATCTGATGTTTTTTAAAAATTTTTTCATTACTATGTCAGTGGTGTAATGATAAGAATTATTTTCTTCATACCACATCTTAAACATTAATTTGCAAAGTCAAAGTCAAATTCAGTACTTACAATGACTGTGTGAGACACATGTCAATATTTATCATTCCTTTTACCTGTGAGACGGTGGAGTTGCGGTGACATCAGGTAACAGGCCCCTGGGATACAGCTGTAAACAGTGAAGGCCAACTTTCCATGATGTTTCTTTTTGGTATGTTAGCAAAGTACATACTCATTTCAAAGGAACCCTCAAATAGCAATAGCTTCTGCACTTCCCTTACAACGGTGTGCAGTAGACTAACAGACCACAAACTGGAGTGGAATTGCCACACACCAGAATGGATGGATTTGTTGACAATTACTTTTTTAAAACAACATGATTCCGTTTTAAAATGTCCTATATTTCCATTACCCATTATAGTGTCCTCTAACTACATTTTGTTATAGGCATAGACATGAGCTACTATAGTTAAGTGATGGAATTTTAAATGTACTTCATCTACTCATTTATGTAATTGAGTGTAGTGTGTTCAGGTGTGCATTTATGTGCTCATGTATACTCACCCATAGACACATGAAGGCCAAGAGACCATAATGGACTTCTTTTTTCTTTGATCACTAGCTCTTTTTTTTGCCAGAATGTCTCAACAACCTGGAGGTTTGCAGTTTAGGATGTACAGGCTGTTCATTGAGCCTCCAATCCTGTACCCAACCTCTTGACCTTAGGCTTACAGGTACATGTCACTACACCTTGCTTTTCATGTGGTGCTGAGGATTTGAACTCAGATCCCCATGCTTGTTCAGGAAGCACTTTAACCACTGAGTGATCTCCCCATCTCTGAAGTTAAATTTAAATAAGCATACCCAATTAACTGACATAATATTGTCTTGGGTCAGGCAATTCTATTTATTTAAATATTACTTTCAAGGAGTGGAATCTTGAGTCAGAGAAAAAATATTCACTAGACTTATATTAAAAACACGATACAAAAAATGAGTAAGATGTAACACTTGAATTTAAGGTCATAATAGTTTAATAGAAGATACAATAATTGGAATACATCAAGATGATTTTTTGGAATTCATTAACTATTTGACACACAGCAAGTGACTGAAATGCATCAGGAAACATTTCATCATAGACATCTACCCACTTACAGTAGTGACTGAGAAGAACTGACTGCATTCTACAGTCATAGCAGAAGTGCAAAGGAACAAAGAAGATGTCAAAGGAACAAAGAAGATGTCAAGGGGCAGCTGGCAGTTAACAAAAATGATTGGTAGGTGACAGTGACTCATCAAGGAGATAGTGTGGGGAAGGGCTATTCAGAGCTGAAAGTAGGCATCAAGAGGAATCCCTGTACTTGAGTAAGTGCCTCTGACAGGTATTATGGTTGAGTGTCAGATGACCCCTGTGGGCACATGTATCAAACACCCACCAACTAGTCAATGCTTGAGGAGATCCTGTAGCCTTTAGGAGGTGGGTACAGCTAGAGAAGAAACCTGGTTTTGTTTATACTTTATAGTCTGACTTTGTTCCTCATCATCTTCCCTGTTGTAAGCAGGTAGACTGATGCTCTTGCAACAATGGTCAGGAGCTGTTCCCACACACACCAGGATGGCTTGAACCTTCAAACTGTGAGCCAGATAAGCCTGTCTTTTCTGTCTTGGGCATTTAGTCACAGCTATGAGAATAGTAACTAATGCAGAGGTCATACTTAACTTCTATATACCCTGGAGAAGATATAGAAGCATACATTTTCAATTGCAATGGATCTAATGGCATTAGGAAAAGCAATCACTTTACTTCCTTCTCTGAATCTCCCAGTATGTTCAAAGGAAGGGGAGAGAAAATAGAGTTCCTTTGAGGACATTCAGTTCAAAGCCACATCTGTAGCAAGACATCTTTTTGTTGTCATCACAGAACTGAACCTTGAATGACATGGTTTCTTTTCTATGTTAGGACTGAATGACCCACTCCCCATGCTGTAGCCTGTCTTTTACAAGGGGAAAGTCTAGGGTTGCCCTGTTACTTGACTGAAAGTCAAATGAGAGATACTTTGAAATAGAAGGGAGGGAAGAGGACTTTGGATTGGCATTTGCAATCAAATTCTCTAACAAATATTGCCCAAAGAATAGCTATGTATAATTTTATGCTTAAAGGGGGAAGACTCTAACTCTTAGAGCCCATCTTTATACGCCAATGCAACTTTCTTCTCCTTTCTTTTTTTCTTTTTTCTTTAAATTAGAAACAAGCTTGTTTTACATGTCAATCCCAGTTCCCTCTCCCTCCACTTATCCCTTGCCTGGCACCGATCTCCTATCCCATTCCCTTTCTACACCCCAGGGAGGGTGAGGCCTTCCATGGGGGACCTTCAAAGACTGTCATATCATTTTAAGCAGGACCTAGGCCCTCCCCCTTGTGTCTAGGCTGAGAGAGTATCCCTTTATGTGAAATGGGCTTCCAAATCCATTCGTATATTAGGGATAAATACTGATCCACTACCAGAGGCCCCATAGATTTCGAGGCCTCCTATCTGACACCCATACTCAGGGGTTGTGGGTCAGTCCTATGCTGGTTTTCCAGCTATCAATCTGGGGTGCATGAGCTCCCTTTTGTTCAGATCAGCTGTTTCTGTGTGTTTCTCCAATCTGGTCCTGACCCCTTTGCTAATTACTCCTTCCTTTCTGCAACTGGATTCCAGGAGTTCATCTCAGTGTTCAGATGTGGGTGTCTGCTTCTGCTTCATGTTTGTCTTCTTGTGACTGGGTTCTTTCAGATGAAGATCAGTTTAGTTCCTCACAATAACTTCCAAACTCACCATTTGTATATCTGTGGAAAGCAAATATTTTTCATTTCATTTCCCAGTTGTTTATAGTGTGGTATGTGGTGTAACCAAGTTAATTCAGTGTTTAAAAAGTATCCAAGTCTTGAAGATGAGAAACACTCAGATAAGTTTGCTAAGGTTGCAGCTATCATTCTCCAGACACATAGCTTGGGCTTTAGTCATCTCTAGGGAAATTCCTTCATCCAGCCTTGGTTGGAATTTGAAATTCTGTGTTTGAGTTAAGGAGTGCTGATGCTCCAAGACAGCAGTTCTCAACCCATGGTTGTGACTTCTTTGGGTGGCAAGAACTCTTTCACAGGGTTCGTCTGAGACTGTCAGAAAACACAGATATTTACATTATGATCCATAACAGCAGCAAAGTAAAGCAGTAACAAAATAATTTTATTGTTGGGGGTCACCGCAACATAAAGAACTGTATAAAAGAGTCA